TTGCAGTGCAGGGACCGTTTTAGAATAAGACGGAATGCAAGAGCAAGCGAACTAAGAATGGAATTCTGCAAAACATTTAATTCTGATTTGCCATTCAAATAAATTTTAAACGAGATAGGTACGTGATAATAATTTACACGGCCAACGCTGTCAGTCATCGCGTTGTCGCTCGCGGGAAAGTACATCGTCTTCGACAATCGAAGATACCAATCCCTCGCTCTTCTCGCGGTTGCATCCCGCCGCGAGGCGAGAGGAGAGACGGATTGCGCGAATCTGAAGTGTTCGAAGAGCTAAGCGCAGGGGCGCGGGATAAAAATGTAAACTGGAGCATTTGCCGGTCCGTCCCCCACCTGCCGGAGAGAAACTCCTCATCCTCGCCCCCGGGCCCGCCACTCGATCTCTTGCCGACCCCCCTACGGCGCCGTTTTGAGAGGTGAAAGAGATGGTCCCGAGTTCCTCGGTTCGTAGGTTGCTACGCGGTTAGGTAGATAGAGGTGCATGCCGATGCTCAGCTACGTCGCGCTACGCTGCACCGCCGTCGCGCCGCGCCGTCGACCGCTACTGTCATGTAGAAGCGAGTGGTCCATTTTCACACATCCGCGCACGATCTTCGCCGCTCCGATTTCTATGCGATTTATAGACGATTTTACTTCGATTCGATATGTAAAATGAAGGTCTCCAGACATCATGCATATATACGCGTTTCTTTCTCACGCAAATTGCTTTTCTCAATTACTTAATTTATCCGAGTAACATCTATTTACATATGTTTTATATAACGTTTTCTAAACGTATCTAATGTTCTATAAACGTTTAAGAAATGTATATAAAACCAACATGTACTAGTGGGGATAATTCTACACGGAAGGAACAATTTTTTTAAAGTATCTAAGAATTTAATTAAATAAAAATCTGAAAAGAATTATGTTGAATCATTGAAATAATTATATTGAACGTTCAAACTGGTTGTTAGAATGTGAAAACCTTTGCATCATTATCATGCGTCCTATATAATTATTTTGATAGTTCAACGTAATAATTTTTAGATACGTAACTAGCTTAATTTTTAAATACTTCAGTAAAAGTCGTTATTTCTATGTAAATCTAATCTCTTGTGCATTTATATGAAGTATAAATAAATTTATCACATAAATTAAATTAATCTGTAAATACGCAAGTAATTTTGGACAGACATTTGTGATACGAGTATCTCGTATTTATAATTATAAATAAATCTGTCATCAAAAGATATATGATTAAAATCATATGATTCATATATATATAAAGTATCAATATTTATTCTGCGTTATATCAGTCACTATTTACTTATCAAAATGTCCCAGATATACATTTTTACTTACTCGCATTTTATGAATTTCAAAATATATTTTCAGATCATCTCATTATCGCTTGTGATATCGATAGATCAGAAAGAATTTTTGTGAAGTATCTAAAATTTTGCCAGATCTAAAAATAACTTTGTTGGACTAAAATAATTATAAAGTAAAAGATAGAATAAAAGCCTGTAAGAGCAATTACCTGTAAGCAATTAACGGCGTGTGAATTATTATGTATATTCGCAATAATTACAAAGTATTATACATACAATAAGTGACCTCGATTTGGAATGGCTTCTTCAATATTTATCAAGGAATCAGAAAAATAAAATAATTATGTAGGACCTTCAAGCTAATTGCTAAAAAGTATCAAAACTTTTGCAATATTATTTGAATTTCCTATACACTGAAAATAATTGTATTAATTGGAATTTTGGTTGAAAACGGACGAATCAGAATTTTCTGATTTGAATCTGTTATGATTCTAATTAAGATTACCAGAATTTTAATTGATCAAAATTTTTCTTCCATTTTCAATCGGAAATTTTTCTCAATGTATAATTATTTTGATGATTTAACATTATTTTCATATTTGCGTTTCTTTAAATTTGTAAATATTTCAAAATCATTCTTTCCGTATGATCTTCAAATTTTTAAAAGACGCGGGATTCACGAGATATCCATGATTCTCTAAGGAAAACTTATTCCACCTTGAAAAACATCATCATTATCAAGACATTAATTGTATTTTCGCACGAGCGTCGCGCAATCATTACCGATATTCGACCGTCAACCGTGAACATCCCACGATGATTTCGTTCTTCAAATCGATTCGGTCATGCAACACTGATAAGGGTGAGCACGTCGCAAACGTTGATAAGTCGCGGTTGATTATGCGCGACTCGATACAAAAGACTCGAAGACAAGAGGGAAGAAAAAGCAGACTCTCGTATAAAAATGCGGGCAGCGGTCGTGCCCCCAATCGAAAGGTCAGCGCGTGAATTAAAGGTATACTGAGCGCATCTCAACAACAACGCCCGTTCTTTAAAGTAATTCTACAGTAAATCGAGTTCCCACATATACACAGAAAAATACACAAATAGAGAAAAAGCCCCTATTATAAGATACCGAATACATTTTGAATAAATGCTAGAAGTCTATAGGCAGAATTTTAAAAAATAATAAGTCATTTTGAAGGGAATTTAATAAGCTTTAAGATAACGTTATATAAAATTTAATTCAAATTCCATTTTTTTTTAATTAAAGAAATGTAAAAAGTGAGCAAATCGCAATCAAAAAATTGTTCTCTAATATGAAATACCCAAAAAATCGAGTAGTAAAACGCAAAATATACCAGTATTGCAATTAAAAAACTTTATTTAATGTTTCTAAAATATATAAACAAACACAGTCAGCGTGCGCAAAAAATAGGCATGCGATTATATCCAGATTATATCCAGAACTCGCCTTCAAGTAGTTGAAATCAAGCATCACCGAAATAGGCATTCGACGTCCATTTCGGTTATCTTTTTTAATATTGTACAATAACAATTATATTTTAGCAATAATTTTCATTATAACATAGGAGCATAGGTTATTTCATATTAGAAATACCCTGAGTATCTCATATTACGATTTTCACCTTATGGTTTTACGATCATCAAATCTAACTTCTGTAATCAAACAATTCAACAGATCCCGTATTTTTCTATTAGTACGACTTTACTCTATCACTACATGAAACATTTATTGCCAAATATTTATCTATTAAATAATAAAGCTCATCTCAATGAAACTTGAAGACATCCAAATTCTTGTCTTACAATGACTACAGGCACTTAATAATAAAGTTTTAATAATAAAGATTTAATAATAAAGTTTCTATTAAATAGTTTTCAATCCAAAAACAATAAATTCATGATGGAACCAATAGATAGTGTTTATTATATAGAGAGCTTTCCTCTAATATTAGGTGTGGGAAAAAGTTCGTGGCGTTTTTCCCATTAGATGGCATTAAAAAACGCCATGAACTTTTTCTCTATAATAATTATTTATTTTAAATATTCCAAAAGTTCACATATCCGCAAATTTATCATAAGTTCATCACAAGCATTAAATTTATTCAAAATACCTTCTGAATTCTAATAAATTTAATACTTTAATAAAGTTTATTAAATTAAAACAAA